TATATAATGTATATGTGTGTGTATATATACATATATGTTTGTATATATATGTGTGTCTATACATAAGTTAGTGTCAGTAGGTAAAGCCTGGGATATGAATAGCTGACTTTAGAGAGCTAATCATCAGAGTAGTTATAGCAGAAGCCAGATTTAAGGTTTAGGGAAAAGAAGTATGAGGAAATGCAAGTTTTATTTCACAAAGTTCTCTTCCTTCCATCTTACTTTCTTATACAGTAAGAAGACAAATGTGGTAGACAATATTTGAAAAAGGCAACAGAGTCCGAAGTTAAGATTCTTCTAAGATGGCTTTTAAATGGGAGTTTTAAACATCTTAACAGGAAAATAATCAGAATAACTAGAGGCAGATACACCCAGAATAGTAAAGTTGAACCAGTTTCTCATGACTAGAAGGGTTTGAGATCTAAAGCACACGGTGATAGAATTATAGAGGTAATAACGATGATTTATTGTTTCATTTTTAAATTCATTCGACAAATATTAATGATCACCTACCATGCGTCAAAGGCTGTTTTAGGTGGTAGGGATAGAGCAGGGATTTTAAAAAAGTACTGTCATGAATCTTACACATTCCAGTTGATGATTACGATAACCTCTTTTGAGGCTGGTGGGAAAAGGGGATAACAGAACTAGAGATAGGAAGAGGTTCAGAGGAAGATTTCTTTGTAAAAAGTGGGTTTTATAAAAGAAAAGAAGTGAAAGCCAAAGGAGAATTCAGAAGCAGATTCTGTGAGAATGAACCAGAGAATCAAATACACCTAAAGAGAACAATTGCGATGCAGAGATCTTAGTCAAGTCATAGTTACCTGGCAATCATTTTAATAGGTCAGGTTTATTCGCTGTTAGACGTATGGCAGTGTTGTGCACGACAGGAAGTGAAGGCCGTCAGAAATAATGACGTGTGAGCAAGTAAAGGGAAAGCTATTTTAGGGGGTTGAAGAGAGCAGTATGTAGTACCTCCCACAGAACTGGTTTAGGAGGGAGAAAATTGTCTGAGAAAAGGGAAAAAGTACATATTGTTGGGGTAAAGTGTTTGGTAGCAGAAGTGGAGCTGAGTTTTATGATGCAATAGTATTGGTTTATGATTCACGTGGAATTAATTTTTTTAAAATGTAAGATCAAGTTATCTGATGGTGGCTAACATGGATTATGGAAGTCTCTGAGGATAGTTGAGCGAGGAAAATCTCATCTAGAGGTAAAAATTGACCCGTAATTTGGTTGTAGGTTCTGTAGAAGATAGTGGCAATAATAGTCTGAAAAGATTAAAGGAATCTCAAATGATTAAGACTCAACCAAGAATTTAACCTTCAAATGGTCTGGAGAGAAAGATGCTTTATTAAAGAATGCAAGTATTACAAGGAGAAAACATTTTAGAAAATATTCTTCTGAAAATGTAAAAAGAGGAAAATTTTGTAGGAGGAGGAATAATAAATAAGATTGTGTTATTTGTAGTTACCTTTTGATTCATTAGCATAAAAAATTTTTAAAAATCAATGTAGCACTTAGCAACATCAAATTCAAACTTAAGAGTTGAATTATCCCTAAACTGTTGTTGCATCTATGTCTCTTGGATGCTCATATGTATGAATTAGAATATTACGAGCAGAGTATGAATAAGAAGCACTTAGATTTTCCCATTCATAAAATAAATTACATGAATAGGAAAATCCATTTTGTATTGTCCACATATGAATGAACAAAGGAGTCTCAATTTTGACTGAAAAATAGAACCTCGTGTCTTTTTTTTTAGATGGCTTGTGTGAAGGAAGAGAATATCAACCAAGAATTAAAAGAGAATGAAACAGAGCACACCAAACAGCTTTCTGATCCCGACAAATCTTTAAAGGATGAGATTTCACCAAGAAGAAATGACTTCATTTCTGTACCAAGTATTCAACCTTTGGATGCTATTTCAGATTCAGACAGTGAAAACTCTTTCCAGGAATCCAAACTAGAAAGCCTGAAAGACCTGGAGGAGGAAGAGGATGAGGAAGTAAGGAGATATATTATGGAGAAAATTATACAAGCTAATAAGCTTCTACAAAATCAAGAACCTGTGGATGATACAAGGGAGCGAAAACTTAAGTTCAAGGACAAATTAGTTGATCTGGAAGTTCCTCCACTAGAAGACACTTATAAAAATTATTTTGAAAATGAAAGTAATATGTCTGGGAAACTATCACAGTTACGTATTTCCAGTGAATTTGCACAAGAAAATGTGCTCCTGTCACTTACTGATGGAAGCTGTGAAGAAAATAAGGATAGGAAGATACTGATGGAGAGAGATGGAAAGTTTGAACTTCTGAATTTACAAGACATTGAGAGTCAGGGATTTTTACCCCCCATTAACAATGCTAATAGTACAGAAAATGAACAGTTGTCACCCAGGTTTTCCAACTCATCTGTCAATGGTGTCAAGAAAGAAGATTCTGCAGCAAAAATTCATGCTAT